GACAATGGAACAGAATAGCGAACCCAGAAAATAGCCCACATACCGACAGCCAACTGATCTTTGACAAAGCCACCAAGAACATACCCTGGGGAAAAGACAGCCTCTTCAATAAATAATGCTGGGAAAATTGGACATCCACATGTAGAAGAATGAAACTAGATCCATACCTCTCACCATATAACTAAATCAACTCAAAATGGATTAAAGAATTAATTATATGTACTGAAACTATAAAACTCCTAGAAGAAAACAGTGGAAAAACTCAGGAAGTAGGACTGGGCAAAGACTTTATGAATATGACCTCAAAAGCACAGGCAACAAAAGGAAAAATAAACAAATGGGATTATATCAAACTAAAAAGCTTCTGAACAGCACAAGCAACAATTAACAAAGTGAAAAGACAAGCAACAGTGTGGGAGAAAATATTAGCAAAATTTTCATCTGACAAAGGATTGATATCCAGAATAACAAGGAACCCAAACAACTTAACAATAAAAAAACAAGTAACCCGATTAAAAAATGGGCAAAGGAGCTGAATAGGCATTTCTCAAAGGAAGATACATGAATGGCCAAGAGACACATGAAAAATGCTCAACATCACTCAGCATCTATACAAATTAAAACCACATTGAAATGTCACCTCATTCCAGTTAAACTGGCTATTATCAAAAAGATCGAGAATAACAAATACTGGCAAGGATGCAGAGAAAGGGGAACCCTCCTTCATTGTTGGTGAGAATGTAAAATGGTGTGGCCATGACAGAAAATGGTATGGAGGTTCCTCAAACAACTATAGATAGAACTGCCATATGACCCAGCTACCCCACTGCTGGGTATATACTCAGAGGAATGGAAATCATCATGTCAAAAGTATACCTGTACTTCCAGGTTTATTGCAGCTCTATTTGCAATAGCCAAGGGTTGGAACCAACCTAAATGTCCATCATCAGATGACTTGATAAGGAAAACGTGGTGTATGCAATGCTAGACTGCCATAAAAAAGAATGAAATACTTCCATTTGCAGCAACATGGATGAAATTAGAGAAAATTATAAGCGAAATAAGCCAGGCACAGAGAGAGAAATACAGCATGTCCTCACTTATATGTGGGAGCTAATTAAAAATTCATAAATAAATAAATTTTAAAAAGAAAAAAGATACAATAATCACAATAATACATTGAAGTTTTGAAGAGAAGAGAACAGAACTGAGGTTGTTGTGGGTGGGAAAGGGGAAAGGGAGGAATTGGTGAAGGGCTACAAAAATCAATTACATTGTATAAAGATGAATATTCTAATTATCCTGATTTTTAAAAAATAATAATAATTTAAAGAAGATTATTTACCTATGTAAATAAAATTTAAAGTCTTTATGTGGAAAAATTAAAAAGATGCTGGTGGATCAATCCTGTCCCATACTCAAGTGTGTGTAAGCCAGTTCTTGGCCTTTCTTCATGAAGAATTTTGCTGGTTTTCTAGAGGCAATTCTACTATAAATTATTCTACTATATATATGTATCCCATAACATCATGTTGTTTACCTTAAATATACACAATAAAATTTATTTTAAAAAGAAAATAATGGGTAGTTTAGAGGCCTCTAGAGACTGAAGGAGCCCTAAAAGAGTTTGGCTCTTGTCAACGCAGAAACCTCACAGTTAACTGATGCTGTGGACTAGAATCCTGTAGGAAGCCATACCGAAATAGGAGAGTAGCTGTACTAGGTACAAAAAGAGAAGCTAGTTCTCTCCATACTTCTCAATCAATTCAATAAAGTCTAATTAAAAGTCCAGAATGTGTGTGTGTGTGTGTGTGTGTGTGTGTCTATGTGTGTTTGATTTGATAAACCAATGAATAGGTGGAGAACAGAGGATTTTTAGGGCAGCAAAACTATTTTGCATGATACTGTAATGGTTAATACATGACATTATATATTAGCGAAAACCCATTGAACTGTGCAATACAAAGAGGGAACCCTAATATAAAATTAAGTTAGTAATAATATATCAATATTGATTCGTAATTGTAACAAATGTACCACACTAACGTAACATGTCAATAATAGGAGAACTATATATGGGTGGGGGAAGGGTATGGGAACTACCTATACTTTCTGCCCAAATTCTCTGTAAAACTAAAACTGCTGTATAGTAAAGAGAAAATGAAAATAAAATAAAAATCTTATACACATACACAAAGACACACACTTGGCCGTGTATGAAGTGACTTACATAGTGCTTCTTAAAATTATTAATTAGAGCATTGTTTGCACACCAACAGCTTGAAGAAACCTACAAGTTCCTTAATAGGATATAGGTAAAATAATCTCTGAATCATCCACACAGTGGAATACTTTGCAACCATAGAAGGAATAGGAAAAAAAACTCATATACTAATATTAAATTACTTTCAACTTACGTTAGTAAGTAAAAAAAGCAAGTTGCAAAACAATGTACATGGTATATTAGCATTTATTTTAACGAACTATAGAAATGATCCCTGAAAGTATAGTCTTATTAGCATTTATTTTAAAAGAAGCTATGAATATACATAAATATATTCAGAGAGATATTTGTATGTCTGTATGTTTGCAAATGCATGTACATATATGTGTATATTATGCATTCGTGTGTGTATACATATGTAAAAAATACTCAGGAAGTAGTACATAAGAATCAAATCACATTAGCTGCTTGTGGAAGGTGAATTTCATGATTTCATGGCTATAGGAAGGAAGACTTTTCACTGTGGATCCTTTAAATTATTAAATTTAATTTTGAGGAGGTTTTTATTCAAAAAGTAAATAATACATAAAGAACAAAAACTGAAAAATAAATCAATAACACTCCTATACCACAACCATAATCAATAACTTTTAACAATTCTCATTCATAATCCAAAAAAATTGACTAATGAAATTTGACAAAAGATGTGCGAGACCTTTTGGGTAAACATAGCAAATTTAACTGAAATAAGATTGAAGTAAATTAAAAAGCCTAAGTAAATGTTCACTGGTGTGACATTTCAATAAAGAAACATAGCAAATCTCTCCAAATTAGCTTATGAATTTAATTCAATTTCGATAATAATTCCTAAAAGAATATAATTTTATAATTCAAATTCACATAATAAAGAGCCAAGGCACTTGCGAAAAAGAATCATAAGATTGTAAGATACATCCTACCATATATCAAGGCACATAAGCTGTAGTAACTTAAATAGATCAGTATTGTCATAGGTATAGATAGTTACATCATGACATAACAGCAAAACTAACTCACAAAAATACCCACACACAGGTAGGGACTTGATAGATGACAGAAGTGCCTGAAAATTATTGGAAATATTCAATAAATATGTATTTCAATATTGAAAGAGAGCATTATCTCAAAATATACACAAAGTAAAATCCATGTGGATCAAGAACTAAATTCCAGTAAAGAACTTAAAGAATTTAAAGAATTCCAGTAAAGAACTTAAAGAATTTAATTAAATTCCAGTAAAGAACTTAAAGAACTTAAAGAATTTCTTTAAAATATATAAGAAAATGTCTTCATAACATGAGGATTTTTTAATATGACACAAATTACAAACCATAATTGATAGACTATAAATCTGATAATACCAAAATTAGATCTGTGCAAAAAAGTCACCATAAGGGCCGGCCCAGTGGCGCACTGGATAGTACGTCTCTTGGGAAGCGCAACGGCGCTCCCGTCTGAGGGTTCGGATCCCAAATGCAGACCGGTTCCCGCTCACTGGCTGAGCGAGGCGCGGGAGCAACACCGAGGCTTGCGATCCCGTTGCCGGTCCCCGGTCCGGTACGGGGGCAACACTGAGGGTGGCGATCCATTGCCGGACACGAAAAAAAAAAAAAGACAAAAAAAAAAAAAAAAAAAAAAAAAAAAAAAAAAAAAGTCACCATAAAAGTATTTTCCAAAAAAACAATTAGACTAAAAATTGTTGCAACACATACAAAAACAGAAAATTAATATCCAGAATAAAAAGCAATTTCCATAAATTAGAAATAATCAAAGAGCCCAGTAGTAAAATGAGCAAAGATAACAAACAGGCAAGAATCAAAAAGGGAAAACCTAGTCTCCATGAAACAAAAAAGAAACAAACAAAATTTTTCTACTAATAAGGAAGATCAAAACTAAAATCAAACTTTCAGGTTTAAAAGCATGATAATACTAAGTATCAGTATTGATGTAGCTTTTTCATGACCGTAGTCTAGTAAAAAATTGGTCCAATCATTTTGGACCAATTTAATTTGGCAAACTAATTTGAAGATATTTGTACACAACAGCCCAGCAACTTAACTCCTAGCTGTGTATCCTAAAGGAACTCTTGCACACAAATATTATAGTGTAACATAGAAACAGAAACTTGTCTATCACTTAATGTCCATCAATATAGGAATGCATAAAGCAATAGAAAGATACTTAAGGGAGGGAATACTATACTGTGGTTAAAAATAGTGAACTGTGTATCTACTTGAATAAACATAAATTGATATCAATAATAAAATACTACGAGTATAATTAGGCTAATAAAGGGTAATAATAAATATAAATATAAATAAATAATAAAGCCTAATAATTAGGCTAATGTATAATGATGCTATTATGTAAAATTTTAAGTACACAAAATAATGTTATCTATTTTTATGGATGCCTATACATAAATGAACAGACAGGAGACATAATATGAGTTTAATGATCACTTCTTGGAAAGGAGAAAAGTAAATGGCACCACTGAGAAATACAGAGGTGACTTTGATCTGAAGGAAATACGACAAATTGTCAACAGTATCTGGGTTATTATATTATTCTCCGTACTTTTCTATAAATTCTATTAAGTCATTATATTAAAAAGTAACACATTCTTTAAAAATGCCCTGAGATCATTTCCTCATTGCCCAGCATTTATGAATTTGGAGTCTTGGGTCCAGACCCGCATTCCCTAGAAAACCTGAACATGGCTGTCCTCTACTCTTACCTGCCACCTTCAGATTCACAATGGCCTCTTCGTAGGTGTCACCATCTTTAAAGAAACAGTGGTACTTCCCATCATCAAAAACACTGATATTGTAGATTTCGAGGGTCATTTTGCCCTCTCCCAAGGCATCCTTCAGGAACACTGTGCGATTCATATAGTTCTGCCTGCTTTCTCCCCAGTGTTCTTCCCCGTCCTTATACAGGTAAACCTGTTGGGAGAAGTGATCCCGAAACCAGCCCATCTCCATGTGCTGTGCACTCTGTGGTGGGGACAGTTGGCAGCTGAATTCAGCCTGTCTGCCTACCATAATCACCTGGTGGCTCGTAGAGCTGCTCACCGTGAACTGCTCTGTGGAGGAAGGTGGAGATCAAGGATTTAGTCGCAGGTGCAATACGATGCTTTACCTCGATTCAGCCAGTGAGCGGGAACCGGTCTGTATATGGGATCCGAACCCTCGGACGGGAGCGCCGCCGTGCTTCCCAAGCGGCGCACCATCCAGTGCGCCACCGGGCCGGCCCATTCTTTCTGGTTCTTGATGCCAATTCCGTTCTGACTTCAGAACTTTGCTCTCAGAGATTATCTTCATTCTGACAGCAGTGTTTTTCCCTCAGACTTCCCATACCTGCCTTCTTTTTGTCACTCAGGTCTCCACTCCTTAGAGGAATGTTTTGTTACAACTCATTCAACACTTCCCATAATCATACCTAAACATATCTTTATAGCATATATTACTACCTGACATTTCCTTTTTAATTTATTTATTTTCTCTTATGGCTTGTTAATATGTAAGTCATGCAACAGAAGAGTCTCTGTCTTATTCTTTTTTACATCCAAAGTGTATAAAACATTGCCTGAACATAGTAGGAATTCTCTAAATATTTAAAGAATGAATGGAGAATACTGTTTATTGTCAAGAGTTGGGATGTGGATCATGAATGCTGAACAACAAACTTTACTTTAAAAATCAGTTTTTGGTGGCTACAATTTTTTTGATGCTCTTTCCACGTATAGAAGGGGTCAATATTCCTCCCTTTTGAAACTGTGTGGTCCATGATTTCTTTGTTCAGCTGATCCCAGCCTTCCAGTCTACCCCACTGGCTGAGCGAGGCGCGGGAGCAACACCGAGGCTTGCGATCCCGTTGCCGGTCCCCGGTCAGGTGCGGGGGCAACACTGAGGGTTGCGATCTGTTGCCGGACGCGGAAAAAAGACAAAAAAAAAAAAAAAAAAAAGGTACCATCAAGAAAATGAAATGACAGCCCACAGAATGGGGGAAAAATGTTTTCAGCCATATATCTGATAAAGGAACTTGCATCCAGCTACTGCTAGGAATCTCTGTCTTATTCTTTTTTACATCCAAAGTGTATAAAACATTGCCTGAACATAGTAGGAATTCTCTAAATATTTAAAGAATGAATGGAGAATACTGTTTATTGTCAAGAGTTGGGATGTGGATCATGAATGCTGAACAACAAACTTTACTTTAAAAATCAGTTTTTGGTGGCTACAATTTTTTTGATGCTCTTTCCACGTATAGAAGGGGTCAATATTCCTCCCTTTTGAAACTGTGTGGTCCATGATTTCTTTGTTCAGCTGATCCCAGCCTTCCAGTCTACCCCACCAAATGTCAGGCCTCAGAGTGAGGCCACGTTGGGCCCTTTAGATTATCCATCTCACCAGCAGAATACACCAAGTGACCTCAGTCTATGTCACATGGAGCAGAAGAATCGCCAGCTGAGCACTGGCCAGAATTGCTGACCCCCCAAACTGTGAGATATCATACACTGGATGTTGTTTTAAATCACTAAGTTGGGGGATCATTTGTCATGAAGCTATAGTTTGTTATAGATAACTATCATACATTAGTTTTTTGCTCTTCTCAACTATGCCAAATTCATTCCTGTCTCTTCCTAGAATGTTTACCCTCTCACAGTGAGGAATCTGAATTATCAAACTTAATGGCCCATTGCTCTAAGAAAAGTTTGTGGACAGGTTCCACTCACACCAGCCTTTTTATCAGAGGTCCTACTAAACTTATAACTTATATGGTCACATACATAATTGTGGTGTGTTCTTAAATATAAGAGATATATCCATTATGATTTGCCAGTGAGAACTTGAGCTTCCCAAGGGTAGATGTTAGACATTTATCTGCCTCTTCTTCTAGGAGCATCATCACAATACTGTGGCATCTAGTTGTGGTTGAGAAAGACACAGTGATTAAAATAACATTTCTTCATCACAAGCTGCTTTAAGGCTCATTTCTACCCTCAAAACTACAACAGAAGGGCAGAATCTGCAGAACAGCAGTGAAAAGCTTGCTCATTCCCTTCACGGTCATTTACCACCATTATCTTTCTTTATAGATGTGATGCACCATAAAAAGGAAATAGATATCCCTACCTGAGGTGAATACTGTTATTTGTAAGAGAAGAATGGCCACAATGTATCCAGGTAAAGAAGAAGATACAGCCTCCATCATACCTGGAAAATGAAATAATTGTTGGATCGGGAAGCTAGAACCATGAAAACACAGAAAAAAACAAATAGAGACAATTTTAAAATCCTGTCTTTTGAGAGAATTTCCTTTGAAGTGCAGCCAAATGACTTAGTCAAGCCACAGGTTTCAAATGGCTCTAAAACACGCATAGAACAGTAACAAGCCAAGAAGAACAAAGATTCTTCTGAAGAAGAAAAAACAATGTGAGGAAATCTGCATTAAAGAATATCAAGATTTATTATAAAACTATTATAGTTAAACATTGTGGTATTAGTGTATACAAAGACAAACATATAAATTGAACAAAATGGGGATCCCAATAATAGACCTAAACATGCATGGAAACCTGATCCACTACAGATCTAGCACTGCAAATCAGCTAAGAATTACTATTCTGTAAATGGTACTGAGACAAGTGCATAGGAAAAACAGACATAGAATCCCCACTTTACTATAAATTGAACAAAATGGGGATCCCAATAATAGACCTAAACATGCATGGAAACCTGATCCATTACAGATCTAGCACTGCAAATCAGTTAAGAATTACTATTCTGTAAATGGTACTGAGACAAGTGCATAGGAAAAACAGACATAGAATCCCCACTTTATGTCATACACAAATATGACCCATATGGATCAAAGACATGAATGTGAAAGGCAAAGCTATAAAAATGTTAGATTGGCTTTTACTAATACATTTTTTATGAAATTGGAATATGAACAAATTTATTAAACTATGAATAACAGCAATAAAAAATGTTAAATTCAACTTTATTAAATTTGTTTTTCTTTATCAAGGTATAATTAAATAAAATTTGTATATATGATGTAAAATATAGTGTTTTGATATATGCATATATTATTAAATGATTACTACAATCGAGCTAATTAACATATCCATCACCTCACATAGTTACAATATTTTGTGATGAGAACATTTAAGATCTACTCTCTCAGCAATTCTCAAGTATACCATACATTGCTATTAACTGTAGTCACTGTGCTGTACATTATATCTCCAGAACTGACTCATCCTGTATAACTAAAAATTTGTACCCTTTGATCAAGATATTCCCATTCTCCTATCCCTACCCCCAACTCCTGGAAACCACCTTTCTACTTTCTGCTTCTATGAATTTGACGTTTTAGATTCCATGTGTAAATGAGATCATGCAGTATTTATCTTTCTGTGCCTGGCTTATTTTACTTCGCACGTCCTCCAGCTTCATCCACATCATTGCGAATGACAGGATTTCCTTCTTTTTTAAGGTTGAATAATATTTTGTTGTTTATATACCATATTTCTTTACCCATTCATTTACCAGTGGACACTTAGTTTGATTCCATATCTTGGCTATTGTGAATAATGTTTCAACGAACACGGGAGTGCAGATATCTCTCTGACATACTGATTTTTCTTTCCTTTGGATATATGTCCAGTAATGGAATTGCTGAAACATACGGTAGTTTTGTTTTTAATTTTTTGAGGAACCTCTGTGCTGTGTTGCATGATGGCTGTACTAAGTTTACATTCTCATGCATTAAATTTAATAGTCTGTTATCTAAAGACATGATAAAGAAAGTAAAATGATGAGCCTTAATCTGGAAGTAGATATTCTATACAACACAAGAAACTCACTAAGGATCATTGTGTAAAATAGATTAATTACTCCTTACCATACAGATTGCTAGTTGTCTCTTAGACATTCTCTCTTTCTTCTTAAAAAAAACATCCAACATTTATGAAGGAACTTGGACAACCCAAACAAAGACTACACTTTTCAGATTTCTTGCATCTAGGTGAGACTTTTGGACTGATTTCTGGTCGAAGTGTTGTAAACAGAAGAACTGGAAGCAACTTTCTCTGAATCCTAACAGCAGGAGGCACACCTTCTTCCACGCTTCCTCCTTACAACCAGACTGACTGCCATCCTGATGTACCTTGGACCTTGAAGTAGAAGCCACAGGCTGCAGATGATGGAGCAGCAAATAAGTTGGAAGGAGCTTGAGTCCTTAACTATATGAAGCTGACCCACCATCCTTGAAAACCAACATTTGATCTTCTTTCATCTTGTGTAATGATAAATCTTAAATGTCTTTTTTTCTTAAATGGGTAGCAATTACATGGTTGTTCAGTTCATCGTTAGTCTTTATAATGCAAATATACTGGATATACTATTTATATCTATTCAATATTTATGTTTCTTTTCTTAAATAAGATAAAAGAAAACTAAAGGCAAGTATTTTGATGCTGGCAAGCCAGCTTCCCCAAATTGTTAAGGTTCTAGGTTTCTTCCAGGAATTTCTGATATTTTCACAACTCTCAAATACATACATATATGTGTTTAGAATCACTGAAATTACATCTTATATGTGTGGGATATTAATAAAGTCATGAAACTTTATATATGTATATATAAAATAAGATCAACTCACTAAATTTTTGTTTAAATTCTCAGCTATTTTAATTACTAAGGACACAATCATGGCCTTTATTCTCTAAAATGTGAAAATTAGTTTACTCTATATTTTAGGGATATATTGAACAGAAGAATAATATTCCCCTTTATTATCATCAAGTACTTAAAGTAATGAGTGGTACATATTTGCTACTGTGCTACACAGTGAATATATAATTATTACTATTTATTAGCTCCCTTCTAATTAAAGTTGATAACTGTCTACTCTTTGAAGCAATAAACAACTACATATTAATTAACTCCTAAAACTAACTGCTCTGCAAGGGAAAAAAAAGCAAAAGATTTTTAAACTGATAGAATAGAAAGAACCTAAGGTCAACAACAAAGGATAGCATTCTAGGCAGAGCACATGGCCAAGCAAATGAGCAATGAAAGAGATGAGCCACTTAACATCACCTTAAATTTTTCCCACTTACTTAATACCAGAAAATAGGGGGCTAGTCCAGGAGGGACCCCAGGCCCTCAGAAACAGCATCATCTGAATGCCTTGTAGATCCGTGCATGGATCAGCTAGGTTCCTGTTTTATAGAAACCAATATCAGAAGTGCTACAGTCACACAGCAATCAGCAGAACTTTTTGTAAGAACCCCAGAGAACACCTGCATGCCATAGCTTATTCTTTCACCCTAATGTGTACATCCTCTCACAAGAGAAATCCGAAGGTGGAAACTCCACCCAATATGTAGGATTGTTTTTTTAACATTGTCATTTTTAACATCAGGATTCAAGAATAATTCTCAAGCAAGCACAAGTTTCAACTTGATTTGCCTCTCCCTGAAAATAAAGCATGAAACAATGTTGTTATTTATTATAGGATTTGGGTCATTTAAATTATCTATGATGAAGACATTACAATAAAGTATTTTAAGGATATTATACCTGGGACTATTGTGGATTATGTTTACACATAAAATGGAAAATGGAAATAGGAAGGATCCTTTTATCTTTATAAGTTTTGTCTATAAAAATTTCCTATAAACATCACATTGGGCCGGCCCAGTGGTGCACTGCTACAGTGCGCCGCTTGGGAGCGTGGTGGCGCTCCCACCAAGGGTTTGGATCCCACATACAGACCGGTTCCCGCTCACTGGCTGAGCGAGGTGTGGGAGCAACGCCGAGGGTTGTTGCCAGTCCTGGTCCAGTACGGGCGCGACACTGAGGGTTGCGATCTGTTGCCGGACGCGGAAAAAAGACAAAAAAAAAAAAAAATCAGTTTTTGGTGGCTACAATTTTTTTGATGCTCTTTCCACGTATAGAAGGGGTCAATATTCCTCCCTTTTGAAACTGTGTGGTCCATGATTTCTTTGTTCAGCTGATCCCAGCCTTCCAGTCTACCCCACCAAATGTCAGGCCTCAGAGTGAGGCCACGTTGGGCCCTTTAGATTATCCATCTCACCAGCAGAATACACCAAGTGACCTCAGTCTATGTCACATGGAGCAGAAGAATCGCCAGCTGAGCACTGGCCAGAATTGCTGACCCCCCAAACTGTGAGATATCATACACTGGATGTTGTTTTAAATCACTAAGTTGGGGGATCATTTGTCATGAAGCTATAGTTTGTTATAGATAACTATCATACATTAGTTTTTTGCTCTTCTCAACTATGCCAAATTCATTCCTGTCTCTTCCTAGAATGTTTACCCTCTCACAGTGAGGAATCTGAATTATCAAACTTAATGGCCCATTGCTCTAAGAAAAGTTTGTGGACAGGTTCCACTCACACCAGCCTTTTTATCAGAGGTCCTACTAAACTTATAACTTATATGGTCACATACATAATTGTGGTGTGTTCTTAAATATAAGAGATATATCCATTATGATTTGCCAGTGAGAACTTGAGCTTCCCAAGGGTAGATGTTAGACATTTATCTGCCTCTTCTTCTAGGAGCATCATCACAATACTGTGGCATCTAGTTGTGGTTGAGAAAGACACAGTGATTAAAATAACATTTCTTCATCACAAGCTGCTTTAACGCTCATTTCTACCCTCAAAACTACAACAGAAGGGCAGAATCTGCAGAACAGCAGTGAAAAGCTTGCTCATTCCCTTCACGGTCATTTACCACCATTATCTTTCTTTATAGATGTGATGCACCATAAAAAGGAAATAGATATCCCTACCTGAGGTGAATACTGTTATTTGTAAGAGAAGAATGGCCACAATGTATCCAGGTAAAGAAGAAGATACAGCCTCCATCATACCTGGAAAATGAAATAATTGTTGGATCGGGAAGCTAGAACCATGAAAACACAGAAAAAAACAAATAGAGACAATTTTAAAATCCTGTCTTTTGAGAGAATTTCCTTTGAAGTGCAGCCAAATGACTTAGTCAAGCCACAGGTTTCAAATGGCTCTAAAACACGCATAGAACAGTAACAAGCCAAGAAGAACAAAGATTCTTCTGAAGAAGAAAAAACAATGTGAGGAAATCTGCATTAAAGAATATCAAGATTTATTATAAAACTATTATAGTTAAACATTGTGGTATTAGTGTATACAAAGACAAACATATAAATTGAACAAAATGGGGATCCCAATAATAGACCTAAACATGCATGGAAACCTGATCCATTACAGATCTAGCACTGCAAATCAGTTAAGAATTACTATTCTGTAAATGGTACTGAGACAAGTGCATAGGAAAAACAGACATAGAATCCCCACTTTATGTCATACACAAATATGACCCATATGGATCAAAGACATGAATGTGAAAGGCAAAGCTATAAAAATGTTAGATTGGCTTTTACTAATACATTTTTTATGAAATTGGAATATGAACAAATTTATTAAACTATGAATAACAGCAATAAAAAATGTTAAATTCAACTTTATTAAATTTGTTTTTCTTTATCAAGGTATAATTAAATAAAATTTGTATATATGATGTAAAATATAGTGTTTTGATATATGCATATATTATTAAATGATTACTACAATCGAGCTAATTAACATATCCATCACCTCACATAGTTACAATATTTTGTGATGAGAACATTTAAGATCTACTCTCTCAGCAATTCTCAAGTATACCATACATTGCTATTAACTGTAGTCACTGTGCTGTACATTATATCTCCAGAACTGACTCATCCTGTATAACTAAAAATTTGTACCCTTTGATCAAGATATTCCCATTCTCCTATCCCTACCCCCAACTCCTGGAAACCACCTTTCTACTTTCTGCTTCTATGAATTTGACGTTTTAGATTCCATGTGTAAATGAGATCATGCAGTATTTATCTTTCTGTGCCTGGCTTATTTTACTTCGCACGTCCTCCAGCTTCATCCACATCATTGCGAATGACAGGATTTCCTTCTTTTTTAAGGTTGAATAATATTTTGTTGTTTATATACCATATTTCTTTACCCATTCATTTACCAGTGGACACTTAGTTTGATTCCATATCTTGGCTATTGTGAATAATGTTTCAACGAACACGGGAGTGCAGATATCTCTCTGACATACTGATTTTTCTTTCCTTTGGATATATGTCCAGTAATGGAATTGCTGAAACATACGGTAGTTTTGTTTTTAATTTTTTGAGGAACCTCTGTGCTGTGTTGCATGATGGCTGTACTAAGTTTACATTCTCATGCATTAAATTTAATAGTCTGTTATCTAAAGACATGATAAAGAAAGTAAAATGATGAGCCTTAATCTGGAAGTAGATATTCTATACAACACAAGAAACTCACTAAGGATCATTGTGTAAAATAGATTAATTACTCCTTACCATACAGATTGCTAGT